TGCTATTAACTCTTTCACTCTGTAGCTTATAATATACATCTTTAATGTATTACAGTCTACTATGAATTTATATCATAACACATAACATTCATATAAAAACTTTACAACAGTATACTTCCCATTTGCTACCCTCCTGTCTTTTGTGCTATTATCATACTGGTACAACTACGTATGTTATATACCTAACAATTACTATTTTAGCTATAAATCATCAATTACTTGTTAAAGTGTTTAAGACATTAGAAAATGCCGTATGTTTACCTACACATTTACCATTTTCTGTGCTTTGGTTTTCTTTATGTAAGTCTGAATTAAATCTATTAATAAATTTCCTATATTGTTCAAAAACTTTCTTTAGCATTTCTTATATTGTAGGTCCATTGGTACAATACCTCACAACTGAAAAAGCTTTTATTTTACCTTCTCTTTTTTTTTTGGTACCAGGGATCGAACTTGGGTCCTCACACTTGCAAGGCAGGTGGTGGAACCACTGAGCTAAATCCCCAGCCCCTTTTACCTTCTCTTTTGAAGGATATTTTCTCTGAATATGGAATTCTAGGTTGAGAAAATTATCTTTCAGCATTTCAAAAAAATCATTCCTTTATCTTGTGGGTTATGTTGTTTCTGATCAAATGTCGAGATCACTCTGATTGTTTTGCTTCTATATTTAATGTATCTTTTTGTCTAGTTGCTTTTAAATATTTCTCTGTAATACTGGTTTTTAGTAATTTGATTATGGCGTTCATTTCTAAGGTTCATTAAGCATTTCTCTTTCTTCCCCTTTTGATTTTTGTTTTTTTGTGGGGTTTTTTTTGGTACCGGGGATCAATCTTCCCCTTTTGAGATTTTCATTGTATGTCTGTTAGGTACTTGATAATGCTTCCAGGTCAGCTGAAACTGTTCATTTTTCAACCATGTTTTCCCTCTGTGCTTCAGTTTGGAATTTTTCTTTTGCCCTGACTTCAAATTTACTCATCTTTTCTTCTGCAACACCTAATCTATATAAATTCCATTTGGCTACTTTTTTCAAAACTTTCATTTTTGCTCTTCATCTTAATCCTGTTCTCCTTTAAATCTTTGAGCACATTGTCTCCTGATTCCATCAACCCTGTCATTTCTGTGGTTTTGTCTGGTTTTTCTCTTGATCATTAATCCCGGTGTCTCATGTGAAAAATAATTGCTCATCTGTGCTGCACAGTGTGTATACTATGTTGTTGACTGACTGGATTTTGTTTTCTTCCTTTGAAAAGTATTGCTTTTGTTCTTGCCTTTATTCTAGCAGACAGTTAATTTACTTACAGATCAACTTGATACTCTAAAAGCTTATTTTAAGCTGTGTTAGGGCAGGTCTAGAATACTTCTACTTTAGGGTTATGTAGCTCTTCTAGGATCTGGCCTTTCTGGGTTTCAACTGAATATGGGATGTTTTCAGCCATGCTTTTCCTCTCTGGCAGGTAAGAACTCAGACATGTACTCTTGTGCGACCTCTGAATTTTCACTCAGTTCATACCCTCCCCGCCATTAGCCATTTCCTGTTCAGGTTTTCAGATGCTTAATGCAATTTAGTTTTCACCCGAAGGAGTCAAGAGGCCCCCTCTGTACATTTCTGGAATTCTTTTCTTTGCTCGATTCTCTTTTCTTTGCTGTTCTGCCCTGACCTCTGATCACTGTCTTCTCGGTTCATTGAGATGCCTTTCTTTGTGTGGGTGCCACCTCTCTGTGTGCTGACCAAGAGGTCTCTCCAGACAGAGCACTGGCTTGACCATGGAGCCGATGTCATGTCTCTTGGGAATCATAGTTTGGCACCATCTATGACCAAGGCCTAAAAACTGTTAATTCTTTTCCAGTTTAAAGTTCCAAATGGCAGGAGAGCTGAACTTATACCAGTGATTCCGTCTTGGCCAGAAGGGAATGTTCTCCCATTCTTGCTTCACACTAAAACCACAAGAAAGGCATCCCTGGTTGCCTCCTCCACCACGTCTGTCATTCCTTCCCACTTCTACCCTTTAAGCTCTTGATTCCATTGGCCTTGAATTCACCTTCCTCGACCTCAGGAGTTTCAGAGACCCCTGGTCCTCCTGCATCTGAGTTATTTGGATACATTTCTCAAATGTTTATATTCCCTAGATTTTTTTTCTTTTTTGCAGAAAGAAGAGACACGGTGCTGTTACTCATTAAATACCTGAATGAAAATAGCTTGTATGTGTTCCTCACAAAGAAAGACAGCCAGGCTTTCTGGGGGTCTTTCTTTCTTACTATGAGTTTAGGTAGCAGTTCCAGTGTGCACACAAACTACTAAATGACATGAGTTTGGAGCCTGAGTTCATCTCACTCAACCCAGACCCACTGGGTGACCCTGAAGAGGTGCCCAGACCTCTCTGAGCCAGGTCCCATGTGCCTTATTCCCTTGGGGCCTAGAGGAGGATAATATGTCAGGCAGCTTCATCCTCACTTTAGGCGCCCATCCCATCTTTGAGAAGCTCTTCAGCATTCTGAGTTTTACTCTCCTGGCCATTTTTGCATCAGTTGAGGGATTCCTCAGTTTCTCCATAGGTAGTGGTTAGAGAATAAACCAGGTACACAGTATATAGGTCACCAAACAAGTGATCCAGGAAAGAGAGATGGGTAAAAGGAAGAATGTTGCAGGTAGAGGGAGTAGAATGTACAAAGCCAGGAGCTTGAAAGAGAACAGGGGTTGTAGGTGAGAAGGTGAAATGTGAGCAGCCTGGGAGGAAGCTGGAGAGTCCAGCAAGTCCCAGTGAGGCAGCTGAAGCCAACAAATGGTGCCCCCAGGTTTTTAAATCAAGTGTTTCATGGGTGTCCCAGATCCCTGCCATGGGAAAAGAAGGGACTCTCTCTCTGAGAGTTCTAGGATTTTTACAGCAGGAATCAACAGTGGAAAGGTCCAAACCTTAGAGCATCCTGGAAATTGTTCTGTGTGTGTGGGGACAGGCCTCAGGGAAAGAACGACTTAGAAATGCTCTGTCCTTGTGCCCAGGTCCCTGGAATGTGTGGGGAGGCCTGGACCAAGGGCAAAGGCTTCCTTAATTAGCTGGCAGACTTGACCCTGTCTCCTGTGTGGCTGAAAGAAACCTGTTAACCTGTCTGGGCGTTGGATTCCTTATCTCCAAACCAATACAAGCAGCAGCTGCTTACATGTGAGGAGCGGTTTCCACTCAGGTGTCTGTGTGGCTTTCTGGGAGTCTCACAGAACCCCTCTCACAGAACTCCTGTGGGGCTGCCTGCTCAGCGAGAAGCCTCCCACTCGCATCAGTAGAGGTGAGACTGAGGAAACTGAGGCCAGGAGAGGGATGTGTGCTGTACAAGACTGAAAGTCAGAGCTCAGTTCAGAGTGGGGCTGGCTTCACTCCAGCCTCAGTTAGGGCTCTGTGACAGTGTGCCTCCAGCCATGGTCCCAAACTATTCCTCACAAAGAGGGACAGTGGAGAAATCAGAGAGGGACTCTAGATGCCAGCAAGGTGTTGAATGTGTAGGTTCATTCTGTGGTTAAAAATAAATGGGATACTGCTAAATAAACCATCCTTCTGGTTGGACTTGAGGGTTACCGAAGTCCTTGGCTGGGAAAGAGAGGGAGGGGAATGGAGGTACCTTCATCCCCCAGACCTCTGCAGGGCCTAGGTCAGAAAGCAAGAGTCCAGCGCACAAGGACTCAGGTGATGAGGGACACCGTGCTCCCCACAGACTGAGCCTGGGTTTCCTTCTGGGCTGGACTGGGCTTGTTTAAGGAAGCTCTGAATGCAGAAGTGCCCGCTCCTGCCTCTTGCTACACCTGTAGTAGGTGGAGGTGTGCTCTTCACATTCCTCAGTGCACATGGTGATGGACACAGGACCCTGATGGCTTCCTGTTTCTGACACTCCCTTCCTGTATGACCTCAGGCAAGGCCCTACATCCTGCTTCTTTGGGCCTGTGCTTCCCTATCAGTGACAGGAATGGTCAGAGGTGGACGGCTAGGGGTCCTCTCACCTCAGGCTCTGAGCAGTGGGTGACATCTCTGCCATCTAGGACGGGGATTATCCTGGGAGGTCTCACCACCACCCAGAGGCAGGAAGACGGAGCCAGGACCTTTCTGGATAGCTCAGTGCTGTGGCCAGGCCCTGTATACAGATGATGCCATTATTAATAATGGGATGTTAATAACTCCTGTGGGTTCTAGACTCTCCTGGTGAGCAGCACCTGAGAAGTCCCTTCCTTGAACTGGCTGGCCCCTTCCTGCCCCTCCTCTCTCATCTAATGTGGGAGAGGCCAGGTTTAGGAGTTTACTTGCCCCACTGGTTAGGGCTCAGGCCACTGTTGCCTGTCCAGACTGCCAGAGGTCGAAACTGAGTCAGCCCCGTCAGCGACCCCAGCCTCTGCAGAAAATTCAGCTGAGGGAGCCAGGTGCCTTGCCAGGTGCCACAAACTTCCCAGAATACCAGGGACTCCTGCACTTATTTCTGCTACCCTGCCAGCCACCGTCCGCTGTGTGAATGGGAGTTCCACAGAGCCCCTTTCCCTACAATTACAGGTGTGACATCAGGCTCCACCCCCACCTGTCAACCCCATCATGATCCCTGCCTGTCTGCTTTCTCTCACTCCTTCGGAGCCAGCTTTTCTGTGGAGCAAAAGGGCTGGAAGGCAACATTCTAGAAAATGTCCTTGGGCCCAGGGTAATGAAAATGTCCTTGGGTCACAGGCCGAGGTCTTAGACACTGAGAGACTGGGCTGTCGGGTTGACAGGTGACTCACAGGACGGCCTGATCAGTGACCTCCAGGTAACTCTGAGTGTGAGCTGGTGGTCAGGCTTCTTGGAGGAGAAGCCAGAGAAGGTTCTAGACTCCCAGACTGGGTCAGGCTCTGAGTGGGAGTGACAGTCCTCGCTCTGTGGAAGAAGAGGTTGGCTGGAGAAGTCTGTCTCCAGCACCCAGGGACCTGTGGTCTGAGAGGCCGCTCACGCTGCGGCTTCAAGGGCCCTCGGGGACTGAGAGCATGACCCTCTCAGGTACTGCCCCCGGGTGGGAGCCACCGGATGATCCAGACACGGGCTCTGAGTGCTCACATCCAGAGGTCACTCCATCTCCACGCTTCGTGGCAGCGAAGACCCAGGCGAACCAGGCGGGGAAAAAAGCTCCGGCCTCAGTGGTCCGATGCGCCACGCTCTTACATCGCACCCCTCCAGCCACCCAAACCCAGACGTTCCGCACTCCAAACTCGGGATCTCCAGCGAGCAAGGCGACCGCAGGTACCAATGGCCGGCGTTACCCCACATCTCCTCCACCCCTCACCTCCTCTCCACCTGCCACCGCTGTGCCCAGCCATTGTTCCCCTGCAAGAGCGAGAGTGGAGGTCCCATCATGCTCTGGGACAAATCTGGGACCCAGCTCTGCCTCTGGCCAGTTCTGTGACTATGAGCCAGGTTTTCTTGCCTCAAACCAGAGGGTGGTACGAGAGGGTTTGCAAAGTAATAGAATATTTTTCCTCAAAATCATGGCCTTGGGCTTGTTTTATTTGACCTTTACAAGGTCTGAAAACTTTTCAAACTGCCAGCCCTTGAACATTGGGAGATTTTATGTAAAACTTGATTTCTAGCTGACTTTGGAAAGTCAGATCTGGCTCTTGGACCCATTTCCTGCAGGGCAACAATTGGCTGCTCCTTTAATAGGGCATGTGCTGTCCAGTTTTCCCCAGTCCACTTAACTCCCAACTGCCTCTCCACCACAGTGGCCTCGTGGCAGGTGTCATTTCTCATTATGATCACACTGTTGTCTGTTTACATCCAGCTCAGTTCATCCATTCATATCCCCTGCCTGGACCCTGTTAGCATGAGTCTGCACCTTCCACCTTTAAGAAAATCAATCTGAAAACTCATTTCAACATGGAGCTGCTCTCCATGGAGCAGTGGTGGGCCTGGCACTCTGTGTTCTTGGCCTTTCTCGTCTAGCACTCCCTGTTGAATGACTACAGGAGACAGAGCCCCGGCAGGAAGCCAGGGAATGCCAGTTCCTGCATCTTCTAAGTCTATACAGAAAAGGGCTCTGGCTCCAGAAGGGTGAGCAGGCAATAAAATGTCCTCAGTGGTCATTTTCTCCAGGAATACTGATGACACCCATTGTGTGCTGAGTACCAGCTCTCAGGATTCCTTGGATTCACACTTGCATGGAGCAAGCAATGGACCACCTGCCTGGATCTGTGGGATGTAGGTTGGAGTAATGTGGCATCCCTGGCACTTTTGGGTACCCTCAAAGGCCAGAACCATCCATGACACATGCAAGTGATCAAGTCGAGACCTCAAATGGATGAGCTCATTTGGTGACCTGGCTGGGTGGTGAACTATTCTTTTCTTGACTGGGGTTCAGGAGCTGATTGGAGGCAAAGGCACAGTTCTTTATGTTTGTTGCGCTTCAATCTCTCAAAAGAAAAGTCAGCCAGCTTGGAAGGCAATGATGTAGTGACAGTTGTGGTTTTGCAACGGTCGTCATAAGTTAACTAGAAGCAGACTGGTCATCACAGTCTCATGTGGCTGACATTGTCTCACCAGAATTATGGCTTTCAGATCTTGCTCAGACTCTTGAGCTTTGTAGCCGGGAGTTTTTATGCCTGCATCTTCTGCAGAAAGTTGCCCCCAGAGGCAAGTGTGTCATCATGTGGCAGTTATTGGCCCTCCGTGTCTCTGAGTGAGCCTCTAGCAAACTGTGGGGCTGCCTTAATGGGACTTGGAAGGCTCATGATGGGCTTTACATCTAGATTTGCCAGCAGGGCAGATCAGCAGGCACCAGGTTGGGAGCAGGAAGTGGCAGGGGCTGTGAGATGGTGCGTGCTGGAGGCAGAAGTTGTCATGGCCCTCATCATCCTCAAATGTGTGGCTCTCCACATGTGCCTGTGAGCACGCCTGTGTGCAAGACTTCACCTGCCAGGCCACACACTTCTGTGGCAAGGAATTCACATCATCACCTAAGCAATAGCAGACTTATGGTAGGAGTTGGCAGTTTGGTGCTGCCAAGTTCTACCCAGATGTTCATAGGAGCAAAAATCTTGCTCAAGAAGGCACCTGTCCCCCTGCAAACATGGGAATTTAAGGTGGAAAGGGGAATCCCTTCCTACCACAGAGCATGTGTCCCCAGAGTGAATGTCTGTGCCGCCTTAAAGGGCTGGAGTGCACCCAGACCTGGGAACTTGATGGCCTCACTCTGTCATGTTTTTACGCTTGGAAAATGAGAATAACCATATAGGCTAAAGGGGCTTTTGGAAGAATTAAGGGAGCCCAATGCTGTAAAGTGTCTGAACCAGTGCCTGGCGCATAACAGGTGCCCAGGAGTGAGACCCGTCCCTGACAGGGGCCTTCTTTGCTCATAGACAGATGCTGTCTCGAGGCACTCAGCCCAGGCATCCTAGTCACACTTGAAGGGAGTGTCAGCCTTTGATGTCAGCAGCAGCCTCTCCAGGAGGGAGGCTCTGTGGAAGGCCCTGTGGGGTAGGGTGGTGGGGTGGCAGGGTGGGGGGCCACTGAGCAGGCCTGTGGGAGCCACTGCTGGCTTCCTTTCCCATCCATCACCCCTGTGAACATCAGAGCCCCAGATCCTACACCCACACTCACCCTTCTCCGTAGGGCGGACAGGCTCAGAGCAGCATTTCCCAAAGTGAGTTTCAAAGATCACCATTTTTTGTGGAATAGTACAAAGTCAGTCAGTCTTTAAAATGGGACTCTGCCGGACCTCTGATGTGTTTGGGGAAGTTTAGATTCAGTAAAGTTGAAATGGCTCTTTTTCTGGTGGAACTTCTCCGAGCCATGATAATCTCGGGCAAGTCATTTCTCCTTAAGAAAGGGACCGTGTTAGCTGCACATCCTGGGGTCTTCATCTGGATCACCTGGCATCATCCCTGTGGTGCCAGGAGCACCTTGGAAAAGCTGGCTTACCTCCCAACTCGGGTGTTCCGTTTCAGTACTTTCTGCAGGTCATGGGTGGGTGTGGCTTCCCACTTGGCTGGACTCTCTGCATCGCAGGGTTTCCAGAAAGAGGACCGTGCCAGCCTGTGAGCAGACCTGGGGGCGCCAGTCCCTTTGCCTTCCCCTGAGGGAGCTCTGACTGCTTCCCCTGGTCTCTGGTCTTTCCGGGGTGTGAGACTGCCCTCACTCTCCTCCGTGTGCCTTCCGCCTCAGGATGCCCTCCCTGCTACCCTGAGTTCACCCTCCTTATGGAGCTGAAGTCCCCCCTCTACCCCTTTGTGGGGCTGTGACAGCAGAATCTTGATAGAGGGAGCAAAGGATGGCCATGTCACATGACAGTGTAACTCGTGCATCTGCCTAGGAGCCAGAGATGGGACACTGAGGCCCACTTGCTATCTGCTGGATCAGCTGGATTGCATCTCTGGGACCTTGGGCAGGTCACCCCCATACCTGGGCCTCCTGGCTCTGCCAGCAGGGTCTCTGGAGCATTGGCAAGGTGCCAGGCAGTCCATGGAAGCCTGAGGAGCTTGTGAGGCCCATCTTTCAGCCCTGGAGCCCCCTTCCTGTGCTGCTTCCCCAGCAGAGCCTGCAGCATTCACCCAGCCTCAAGGGCCCCAAGACCACATGCTGACCACTCCCCATGGCTTTCTTTCTCTGTCCTGTCTCCCACCCAGCAGAAAGCGCGTTCAGTCGGAGAGTAGAAGGCAAAGCACAAAACCACTTTGAAGAGACCAACAGCAGTTCACAAAACTCCAGCGGTGAGTGTGTCTGTGACAGCCACCCTGCGCTGCTGCCACCACCGCCACCCCATCTGCAGCGTTGGCAGGCGCCCCATGGGCTGGGGTCTTCTGGTACATGGTGGGTCTTGTTGGGAGGAGGCTGGGTACGGAAGCAGGGGGAGAGCAGGGCCAGGCAGAAGCACAAAGGGCCTTTTCCCCAGGGACATCCCTCTCTGGCTTCTCTTTGTCTCTTCCCCATGGAGAGAGGAACTGCTTCCCAAAACCACAGCATCAACTCAGCTAGCCTGCACCGTTGGCCTGATAGAGCCATTGCTGTGCTTTTCAGATAAATAATCACAGCTGATTTCTTTCCAGGAGAGGCAAAGGGGATGCAGCAGGGAAACCTCTAGACCTTTGAGACCTTGAGGCCCTGAGTTCTGCCCCCACTTTGGACTGGGACCATTGGAACAAAGATTCCTTTCCAGTCCTTACAGCTCAGTCACTTTGCCTGAGGTTTCCCGGTGGTGTTTAGCGCCCCCTGATGCTGCCTCATGCAGAACCCTGGCAGTGCCTTGGAGCCTGCAGACCCTGGCTCAGCCTGGCAGAGCCGTGTCCGAGAAAGGCCAGCAAGCCAGTCTGCATGGTGACAGCCAGGGCAGGAAGGGACACGCATTCTGCCTCTGTGGTTGCCTTAAGATAAGGCACATCCTCACTCTTGTATGGGTGAAATCTCCAAATGTTAGGTGCCGATCTGTGCCAACCACAGTCGTCTGCCTGGGTGTAGACAGGTAGTGAACATGTCTCACTTGTCAGGCTCTTTATAAACTCAGTAGGAGCACAGACTTTTAGGGGTCATTTCTGCCCATTAACAGCAGCCCTGACTTCATCTAAGCCTGGGTTTGAACCCAGCCCTGCCACCTAGAAGCTGTTGACTTAGTCTCTTACTTTAACCTCTGCTGCAAGTGGCGTGAAGGACACCCAGCCCTAAGTGGTTGTAAGCGCGCAGATTACACACTCTGGTGTTAGGGGCCTTGGGTGGTGGTTATTCGGGGATTTTAAATTTGTCTTTGTATTTTGGTAAACTCAGTGATGTTGAGTACCACAGGGAAGGGCTGAGGCTTTTAGACAGTGTGATTCCCACAACCCCTCCAAAGGGTGGGCATCAGATGGAGTGATTGTCTGGGGCTATATGAGAATGAGTAGCAGCAGGGGCACTGGAACTGAAGTGTCCTGATGTGCCCTGGACTCCCAGCCAACCTGTGCTGTAACCCCTGTGCCTCTCCTACCACCAGAGCTGACATTCACAGTCGGGAATGACCCTATCAAGTGCTGCTGCTTCGAGCAGCCATCATTTATTGAGCGCTTACTGTGTGCCTGGCATGTGTTTAGAGCTCTATGTGTCTTACCTGTTTTCATCCTTACCATGACCATATTGAGGGCAGGGTTATTGTTATCCCCACTTTTCAGATGAGGAAACTGAGGTTCAGGGGAGATCAGTTGTAGCCCCAAGTCCCCCAGATCGTAAGTGGTGAAGGTAGTGAAGCCGGGACTTCCCACTTGCTCTGTGTGGCCCCTCTTTGCTGCCTGCTGTGTTTGAGTCTTGCCGACTGGCAGTGCCTGGTGGAGGTGGAAGATGGGGTATGAGCAAACAGCAGCCTTTAGAATCGTGACAGCTCTCCAGGACTGCCCTAGTGGTTAATACCACCTGGAAGCAGCTTCCGGTGCCCTATCCCAAAGTGGGTGGCGAAACGTGGATATTCTCTCTTTAGGACTTCTATGGCCTTGATGTCATTGAGGGCATCCCAGAAGGATGGCCCTGCCTGATCTTGCCCTGCCTGGTGACCCCAGCACCCACAGGAAGCCTACATTCTCTGAAGGGTGTGACCTCCGTGCCAACCTCCCTCAAGCATTCCTGCCCCTCAGACTGTGAGTGGAGCTGGCAGGTGCTCCCCCTTCTGCTGAGAGCCCCAGCTGCCTCACTGGTTAGGAAGAGAAATCATGAGATTCACAGAACAGCAGAACTGGAAGAGACTTAGCTAAACTGTTTCTCTTTTGCAGAAACTGCAAGTCCCCTGATTTCCAATCCTTTCCCTGTCCTGCAGAGTAAGTGGCGGTCCTGTGGGGGGCTGGAGAGGGCGAGGCAGGGCAGGCAGTAGACTCCGCTGGCCTCCCCAGGGCCCAACTTGGCTGTGCAGACCAGGCAGCTGGGGCAATTGGAGGAGGCCAGGGCCGAGGCGGGTGGAGGAGCATGGACAAGGGTAAGGCAGTGCCCTGAGCACGGGTATGTCCTGTCGCCACCCCAGCCCCAGGGGGAGCACAAGTCTTCCCACTCCTTGTCTTCAGGACAGCCTCAGGACACCTCTTCCAATTCCACCTCAGCTGTCCTCCTCTGTCTCCTTCCCTCACTCTTCTCTCCATCCCTCTCTCTTTTCTTCTTCCTTCTTCTCCCCATTCCTCTTCCCCTCCAGGCACTCATGAGAGTGCTGGGGACACAGATCTGGAAATGCAGGCTTGTTCCACCCTGCCTCCGTGCCTCTGTTTGCTTCCCGCCCCTCTTCACTCGGCCATCTATCTTCCTCTCTTCCTGCTTTGCTGTGGCTTTCTTCACCTCTTTCTTTTTTTCCCCTGCTTCCTTTATTGCTTGTATGTTTGTCACATTGTCTTTTGTTCATTCATTCATTTGGCCGTTCAAAGGCGACCTCTTCTGGTCGACATATTCTCTGCCTTCAGAGAGCTCCTGATCCATGGAAGTCGTCCTCCCAAGACCCTGTCTAGTACCCAGCACTCAGTAAGCACTCAATAAATAACTGCTCCATGTAGTTGAACAGCTTCTGTCTGCATATCTTCCTCTCTCCATATCTTCTTCCTCCCCCAGCCTCTCTCTAGCTGGTTTAATGACAGGGGAGCAGACAGGCTGAGCCCAGCGCTCCAAGTGCAGGGACCAGGTGGTTTGGGCTCCCACTTCCAAAGCTGCCTGCAGCCTGGCAGAGAGCCCTAGGACTTGTGCCATTCCTGACCTGCTGCCTTGTTTCTCCCAGAGCCCTACACCTGCGGCGCCTGTGGGATCCAGTTCCAGTTCTACAACAACCTGCTGGAGCACATGCAGTCACACGCAGGTAAGGGGCCAGCAGCTGGGCAGACAGTTCAGGTAAGGGTGCAGCGGCTGGAAATGTGGTGCAAGTGAGAGGCCCAGTGGATGGAAAGATGGGGCAGCAGGGGGCACAGCAGCCAGATGGGCAGGCAGCTTCTCTTCCCTACCCCACCTCAGTTCCTGCAAGTGGAAGAGACAACTAGAGCCCTCAGTGGTGTTCTGGAAATTGTCATGGGATGGGGAGCCTGAGTCAACTATAACATAAGGTGGTCTTAACTCTGGGGGTGCAGCTCAGGCCATTTGGGAGCAGTCAAATGGCTCAGAGTTGAAGAAGATATCCTTGATACTGGAGTACTTGCTTAAAGCTCAAGGATCAAGCAGGAACTGAGTGTGGTTCAAGATCAAGGTGAGCAGAGACAGAAGGTGGGAGCAGAGAGGTCTGCAGCCTGGAGCAGGCTGGGCTTAATGCATTCCAGGACACAGACTTTGTGCACTGTGGAAGGCTTTTCAGGGCAGATTCCTAGGCCCCACACTGAATTTCTGATGGTGCAGCTGTGGGTTGAGCTTGGGGTTCCACTTCTGATCACAGGTTCTTGGCAGTACTGGTACTGCTGGCCTAGGAACCACACTGACAACTACTGCTGCGAGCCCAGGCTCTGCACTAGGTCTAGGAGCCTTCTTGTCGCATGCTTTGAGGCCACATAGTATGGGTCTCTGTCTTCCCTGTCTGGGGCATGTCCCAGCCTCCAGCTGCAGGCTTTGGTCATAGCAGCCCTCACTTCTAGTCTAATTCCTGTTTCTGTCAGGGAGACACTATTTGCTATAAAGATAAAAAGCCCCAGAATCCCAGTGGTTTAACATGCACATCACTCACTTCTTACACTGCAGCCTGATGCAAGCAGCCTCATTAGGACGTTCCCCCACAGTGACTTGGGGATCCATCGCCTTCCTCCCCTGGGTCTTCCTGGGCCTCTCTAGCTCTTGGGGAGAAGGGGAGGCTGTGAGGAGAGCACATTTCTTTACCACCTCAGACCACAAGTGACACCTATCACAGATGCTCACATTCCAATGGGAGGAGTTGGTCTCAGCACCAGCCTCAATCCATGGCTGAAACGTGCCCAGAGCCACAGCTCAGGAACAGGTTAACCCTGTGCCAAATGAAACACACATCTGGGGAGGGTGTAGCTGTGTCCCTCCACCTGTCCCTCACAGTGATCCCTGCATGGGCTTCCAGTCTTTTGGCTTGCCTGGGCCACAGAGTGAAGAGAAATTGTCTTGAGCTGCATATAAAGCACATAATATAGTTAATGTATATTAGTAACAAAAGTTCCTTTTTAAAAATATTTTTATCATTATGTTTTTTAAAAAAGAGGGCAAGTGGTCCCTAGGCTGTGGGTTGAACCTATCTATCTGCACGGTATTAGAAATAGAAATAAAGTGCTTAGAAATAAAATGCTTAGCCCAAAATGGCTCAGTAATACGCAGCTGCTCTTATTTCCTCTTTCACTGTTGTTGTTGTTGTTTGTAAACCTCTCACTCTTCCAGGTCTGTCCTGACAGGCATAAATATTACAGTCCAAAAACTTCTTTAATGTTCACCGCTATTGTATTAGAGTAGCCTTCATTCATTCATTCATTTGTAAGACCTCTGGCCTTACCAAACGCCCTGAGGAGCTGACTGCAGTGAAGAACACGGGAAGGAACACACCAGACAAGTTGGAAAGTAAAACAGACCTTAGTCTGGCCAGACGGCACTCCCAAAGCAAAGTAGCTTAGAGAGGGACTAGCCCAGAGTCTGAGGCTCTTTTTATAGGGGGTTGCAGGGAAGTGAACGGGAAATTTACAGAAGAGGGAACAAAGGTTAGTGGTCTTACATTTGTATATTAATTAGCCTGACACGTACTGATGGTCAGCAGATGTTTTGTAGATTGTTCTATAGATAGCGGTGGAACATCAGTTTTCAAACAGAGTTGAATAATTTACTTTGGGACCTTATGGCTGATACAGATCTTATCTAGTGTCCCAGAACTAACAAGCATCTTTATCTATTTACTCACATTCAATCACAGCTGGGGCTAGGGGAGTTTTATGATTACAGAGTTATGCAGTCCCACACATTCATTCATTCAGCATACACCTATCAGGTACCTGCACTGGACACTAATTCACACAGTCTTTTTAAGGGACTTTTAAAAATTTCTGATGAACTCTAAAGTCAGGGCTGGGCTCCTAGTGGTAGCCAGCACCCTGTTCTAGTTCTGCTCCATTGATGTGCCTTGGTGGCCTCAGGCAGGAAACCTTGTCCCCATCTTTAAAACAGGTGCACACAGACCCCAGATCTCCAGCTGCCCCCCTCACATCAGCTTCCAGGGTCTTAGCCACCCTGTGAGGGGAGCATTGAATTCCCACTCAGGTGTTTAGACTGTCCACATGGGAACCAGTAGCCCTGGACTAGTGACAGTGGCACTGTAGTTGGGGACCACTTCCTGAATGCGTCACTTGATTAAGACCCTCACTGCCTGAAGTCCTCTACTCTGAAGCCTTCTGTACTCCACCTGCCTGCTGCCAGCTTCCGGAAGCTGAACCCTGATTAAGGAAGACGGAGAATGCCAGTGTTTTCCCACCCTGGGCAGGTGGAGGACAGAAGCCATTAAAATGCAAATCGAAGCTGAGCCTTGAAGTGGCCCCACCTCTGCAGGCATCTTGACTCATTTCCCCTGGAGCTGTGGGTTGCTTTGTTCTGGTCCAGCGAGGCCAGAGAATGCTTCGCAGCAATCCAACCAAAAGCCAGGCGGAATCCCAGCCAGGCTGAATCGGGATTAAAGGATTGGCTCCGTAGAGAGAAATTAAGCGTCATGAGCTGCGAAGTTCACAGCACTGCTGATAAGGAGGATCAGCCTCGAATAACACCAATCTCATTAAGAGGCTGCAGAATGGCACAGGCTAATTCATGCTAATAAACTTCCTTTCTGAACTGTAGGAAAAGCTGACTGGCGGCAGTTCGGGAGCGTGCACTGGCAGTCATGATACTAATGATAGCCAACACGTAGTGAGTGCTTGCAACGTGTGAGGCGCAGTGTTTAAGCTTTACATGGGGTATTTCATCAGCTTTTCCTGACAAGCCCATCACGGGTTACATTTTCTTCCCCTTTATACAGGTGAAGAACTGAAGTTCACAGAACATAATCACTGGCCAAAAGTTGCACAGCCCGTGAAAAACAATCCAATATCATTAGAACTTTTACTTGACACCAGGTGCTATTCTAAGAGTTTTACACACAGTCACCATGTAATTCCAAGTAGTCTTTTGGGTTAAATGCCCATATTAACTCCACCTCACAGAAAAAGACAGTAACTTGCCCAGGATTCTGCAATCACAGAGGTAATTAGACCAGGATTCCAACTTGGAGGTGAACTTCAGAGCCTAGGCACTCATGAGCCACCCTGTGAGGCTGTGGGTAACCCAGAGGAAGATTATCAAAGGGGACCCCTTTAAGGTCATCCTTTGCAGCCCCTTATTAAAGTCCAGCCAGGCAGACCACAGCCAAGAGAGGGACATAGGGACTTTCCAGCTAGTGGATGAAGTTGATAGCTTGCTGTTTGAGGTTTAGGGAGGTGAGCAGACCTAGTTTCTAAATTCCTTTGAGCCACCTTGCCGCTCTGGGCTTTGGTTTTCGCATCTGTGAAGTGGCCTCATCAGGACTCTGCAGAGCTGGGTGAGTGTCACAGAGATGGCATGCATGATGTGGAGGACCCAACAAGACCAGGGCCCTGTTTTTCCATTCCCTGTCAGAAGTACAGGTTGAGTAACACTTGTCTCTAATGCTTGGGATCGGAAGCATTTTGGATTTTAGATATTTCAGATTTTGGAATATTTGCATATGTCCCATAATGAGGTGTCTTAGGGACGAGAGTCAAGTCTAAACATGAAATCATTTTTGCTTCTTACATACCTTATATACATCACCTGAAGCCAATTTCATACAGTGCTTTAGTGCATCTGGCTTAAGACTGCAACCTATCACATGAGGTTGGGTGTGGAATTTACCACTTGTGGCAGCATGACAACAGTTTTCCAGATTTTGGATTTCCATTTTCAGGTTGGGGATATATCTACTTTCTCCTCCTTCCTCTTCAGGAAAGCAAGTAGAACTCCAGCTTTGCCTCTGGGCTTTGCAGATGTCCGTTCCTGAGGTGGGAACACACAGGGATAGCTGCACTAAGCAGAGTCATTTCAGCTCAGTCAGGCCTCTTTACAGAGCTTTAACTAAGTGCCTCAGTTTACCAGAAGCAGTGGCTGTAGGATATGGTCAAAAACAATGTTTTAAATCAACCATATGAGACATCGTTACCTAATGCTAGGTTGAATAATCTAACTCCAAGTTCTTTTGAAGAAAAGAGAATTAGAGAATTACCCTGAAGCTAACTCAGCCCCCATCTTTGGGATGACTTGGGAAAACTGAGGTCCAAGAAGTTGAAATGACTCAAGTGTCATACCCCAGAGCCATGGCAAAGCCAGGTTCACATCAGGGAGTTCCAAACCCCTGTACTCTGGTGGGAAAGTTAACCAGAAAGACTGGTGTTTCTCCTGGTAAAATTCTGTCTCCCCTTTGTAAATGTTCAGTCCGTGCATTAAAAGAAATCCATTCTCTGCACTAGAAAAATGCACAGAAGTTAGACTGTGAAAAATCAGCCATAATGTCACTATTGAAAGCTAACTACTGTTACCAATTGAATGGGTTTCTTTACAGTGTATTTGAAATTTAAATCAGATTTGTTGAAATAAAATTTGCATAAATAAAGTTTATTAGTTTTAAGGGTGTAATTTGATGGGTTTTGACAAATGTATACAGTTGTTAACCACAATCACAATCAGAATACATAACATTACCAGCAACCCAGAAAGTTCCCTCGCACCCCTTTGCAACCATTCCCTTTCCCCTACCCCAGCCTCTGGAAACCACTAATTGTTTTCTTTCACTATTGTTCTGCCTGGGACTTTATGTATGTGGAGTTATTCAGTATT